ATATAAAATTTTTAACCAGTTTTCGTTTATTGAGATGCTAGGATTTTTATTTATACTATTTTGATTTTTGATTATTTCTATACTTTCCTTGAATTTTCTTTTGTATGTATCTCTTTCTCTGTGTAAGATATCTATATTATTTTTATCTATATTACAATTATTCAAAAGGCAGTGTTCATGAAAAGCAGAATTTAGTCTACGATATTTCAAATCGGCTATATGTTCTTTCAATCTTACTTTAACTTTACGTTTAGTTTCACCTATATAAAATTTTTTATTTTCGCATGTACACGGAATTTTATAGACTACATTTTTACTTTCTTCTTTATTTGTTATATTTGTTTTGTTAACTTGTTTTGCATTTAATCTGGAGAGTAGCTTATCATATGTCGGTACAAGTTTTACATTAATTTTTTTGACTTCCTTATTGACTTCTTCGTATAAACCTTTTATGTATGGAAAACGAATGTATTTTATTTCTGCTTGTTTAGGATCTATTCTTATTGTTTTATCTGTTTTTTTATCTATTTCTTTTTCCCAAATATTGAGGATTCTATTTGGGTATCCTGAAAGAATAAATTTTTTCTTTAGTGTATTTAAATGTTCGATTTGTTTAGTATTTATACTAGTTCTATTTTTAATTTTAGTGTATTCCATATTAAATATGTTTTGTTTTATATGAAGTGGTATGTTAGAATTATAGTTAACTGTGGTATTTATTGAGCACTGCTTTTTAAACGGTTCAAATTCGAGATTTGTATTATTTCTTTTAATTGTAATATCTAAATAATTTATGCTGTTGGTAATTTTATCTTCTTCTTCTATTTTAAATTGAATATTTTTGTGGATATTATTTATTATTTTTCTGATTTCATTAGTGTTAATTTCGACTTCATCATATATTATTAGGACATCGTCTACGTATCTTCTATACAACTTTATACCATATATGTCACTTATTTCTTTGTCTATATCTATCATTATGATCTCTGCTAGTTTCGCTAGCAGAGATCATAATGATAGATCTCTAGTTCTGCTATATCTATCATTATGATCTATCATTATGATCTCTGCTACCCCATACTAATTCCACTATTCTGTGTGTAATATTTACTGTTTATTTCAAAGTAGTTGCTTCTGTAGGTAAATTCAATTAGGTCTATTATTTCAGGTTCAATTTTAAGTTCTGTCAGCTTTGGTTCAATTATTTCCCATATTATGGAAGGGTACATATCAATTATGTCCAGACTTGCAATTCTGTATGTATCTTTTATATCTATCTGTTTAATATCACATAATAGTTCATCAGTATTATAAATAGCAAATGTAGAATTTTGATATATTTTTAGTTTCTGTTTTAGAATTTTCTCAAGATTATATAACGTTGTATTT